ACGTCAGCATTGTCGTTTCGTCTTCACCCATTCATTCGACTTGATTGGAAGGTATCGAAAGCTATCTAGAGAAATAGAGGTGATGAAATAAAGGAGAGATGAGGAGAAGGATAAGAAAGGACTAAAATCCCACCGCCTGTGGGTGTCGAAGAAGGGGCGGCAGAGTAAAATCCCACCTAAGACTTCAAGAAGAAGTGTTTTTTTTTTTTTCCTAATAAAAAAGATGCTCTTACAGGATTATGGATTTTAATTTTGTTTTCTATTTTGTTACTGCGGATTGCGGATGTAAGGGATTCCCTTACATCCATTTTTAATTTTACGAAGGCAGAGCAAATCAGCCGCTCAACTTGTAATGTTGTGGCATATCGACCCCTTTACTCTTTCTTGGTAGCAATGCACCCTCTCTACCTAACAAATCTATGCCAACCATCCCCTTTTTAACTGCTGATGTCATAGTGATATTATCAATCTGTTCCTTCTCAATTTTGAAAGGTTAAATACTAATTTAGCTCTTAAATTTTAAATTTTAAATGTTTTTAGTCCTTGAACTATTTTATACAATTTTTTGGTCCTCAACTTTAAAAAATACAATTTTCATCATTTTGTTAGTTAAATCACACATTATTGTTATCTCAATCCAAAAATGGCCTTTTTTATGATGTGGAAATGAGATAAGACCACTTAAAACTTGTGGCTAGAGCAAGAATGAAAGAGTTCATTCAATAAGCAAGTCTTAGCTCAATAATAGAAGAAAATACATCGAGTTTTAAGAATGATAAGACATTGTATGAATCTTACTTGATTGAGATATCAATCATAGGAAACTTAGCTGAAGTCATCGACGTTTCTATCATTTTCAGTCGACTATGATATGTTGTTAGATATATACTACTCTTGGCTTGTGGGGCATATTCACTACTACTATGATAGAAATGCAAAGGATCGCACACTTAGTGTGTTTTGGGATTAGGATTTTAATCCAAGTTTATGGAAAAAGAATTGTGTGAAAATAATATTTTCACAAGAAAAATAAATTAATCAAGTTTCAAAATTAAATTGATAGAATGGATTAAATTTATTAATATGAGTTGGTTCAAGATTAGATTGCTTCAAGTGTTAGAATCAAAAAATTCAAGGAGGGCTTGTGCAGCATAGAAGGGTGACAAGGAGTGTTGCAAGTCCAACATGGACCATGATATGCACCGAGACAAAGGATAAGGGTGGAAAATTTTCCCCTTTCTTGTTTTCTACTTTGACTTAGAGACTAAATTGAATTCTAATTGGATAGAATTACTATTGTTTTCATATTTCCTATTAATATATACAGGAATAGGAAACAAACTGCATAACTACTTGACTATATACCTAGGTCACCTAAAAGAGAGAAAAGAGAAAATATTCTTTCAAGTAGAAGCTCCCTTAGCCAAAAAGTAAGGAGAATTAATGAGTTTATTCTTCTTAATTTTATTTTGTAGAACCACTAGCAAGAAGAGAAGACACGATAATTGCAAGAAATTAAGCAATTATGGTTAATTGGTTCAAGTAGTTAATGAGTCATTCAAACCATATTGAAAATGTAGGTTTGAATCCCTCCAACATTATTTGAGTGCAAATAATTTCAATGGGTCACCTTTGTCATCCTAAAAAGTGGAGCTTTACCTAATACTTTTATATGGGCCATATTTGCAACTTGCGAGAATTCATGAGTTTAATCAACTCAAAGGTTTAATTAAATACTCATATTATAAACATGTTTTAAATATAGACAAAGAACCACTAGAAATTAAATCATTTTGATTACTATTCTCGTTTATGAATATGTAATGGCACAAGAATTATATTGCAATAATGTTTTTAGAGTAGAGATCAACTTACACTTAAATTTTGACACATAATTCAATGCAAAATTTTAGTTATTTATCTCTTTATTATGAATGTCTAAGATTTACTACTTTTTATCCTATATATCTTTTTTTCCAAAATTATTTGTCTATTTATGAAAAAGTATGATAAACCTCAACTAATAATAATAAAAAATAAATAATTATAGTTTTGTGTAATAATTGTATATAATACTTTTATGTAAGAGAATGTTATCATAAATTTTAAATATTAGAAGGCCATTTATTACATTGCGACAAGATTTTTAAAAGTGGATATTTATTCAACCTGCAAGGTTTGAAGTTTAACATGAGAGCTATAATAAAAATTAGGTTGAAACTCTTAACCATTAAATATTCTTAAGCTATATATAATATATCAAGGAACCTTATTCTTCTTCTGATCTTGAGCGTGACATGCTTCACTAATCTTCTTCCAACATCGTAGGGCTATCTGTGGGGCTATCAAAACCCACAAAGCATTTATACCAATGTGATATACATAGTAATAATGGTCACTAGCAGCAAAGTTATCTCCATCCAATATATATGTTATTAAAAGCATAGAAATTGCACATATGTGTACCAGGGAAATGGCAAACTGAAGTATGGTACTGAATGATTTCCCTTTAGCAATAGCATACCTGCCACCCAATTAGAAATCATTAGCCATTACAAGAACTTAAACACATGATTTTGATCCCATTTGTGATATCAATCTTACAAGGCTAGAAAGCACACTGGACCAGTAGCTGCAAATAATCCTTCAAGCATAATGATGTCTGAATATCTTAATGCATATCTAGAGTCAGCTTTGCTGTATTCTTTCCCTGCAAAGGAGGCAACTATCACCACTCAAATTTTGAAATTAAAAAAAAAAATTTTAATTATTAAATTAAAAAAGAGAGAGCTGAAATTTTATTAATTTGCTTTATTTTGTGTTTTAGGACTTATTTGCAAAAAACATAAAGCTCTAGGGAAAATTTAAGAGGAAGAGGAGGCAAAAGAAGCCAATTGCAGAAAGTTTAAGTGAAAATTTTGAGTTATTCTTTGTTTTTTGATTTGAGTTACTAATTTAAAAGTTTATTCAAAGAAGCACAATTAATATATTGCAAAATGGAAAAAATGATTCCCTGTTTCTATTTTGATATCGTGAATGAAAAATAATGCAGAGAAGAGGGGAGATTTGGGAAACAAAGAAAACTGAGGAGATGAAAGACTGGACTAGAGAGGGAAGGAAAGAGAAGCTTTGGGCATCTAACGGAGAATATATCCGTTGAGTAAAATTCAATGAGTTGTCTTTACAGGGTGATGAAGTATTTTAATTTAATTAGTTATCATTTTCTTATTAGATGAAAATACCACATTAACTAATATTTTTGTGACCTAGTAGAAATTTTTTTTTTTTAACTTTCAGACATTATAATTAATTATTTAAAAAAATATAAATAAATAAAATGTTAATAAAATTAATTAACAACTTCTAAAAGATTTTAACAAAATAATAGGTCGTCATAATTATTATATCCATGCAATTGCTGTTTGAAGACCGAAAAAAGAAGTATTTTATGCTGCGCGCGTTACACTTATCACTATCGTGCAAGTTCGTTTACTACATTTATCGATGGAATGAATTGAGCAAATATTGAAATTTCCTTTCAAAATTTGGGTAAATTCAGTACTAACCAAATTGCGCAAACGCCTATCTAGCTTTTTGTTATTTTGGAGAAAAAAAATTACTGTACTTAAATAAAGATAGAAATAAAGTGATCGAAAGGATTGAACATACAAATTTCAGCCAGAGTAGAGCCAGTATTGTCCTTGTAAATTATAGGGGAGAAGACAAAAAAACCATCCAAAATGGTGTGAACGAGTCCCGTGAAAACCCACCAACACATGACTAACCTATCAATTTTTGCTTCTGTAGGCAACCTTCCTGGTACAACAAGAAAAGATATAATCTTATTATATTATAATAATTATTTAACATATTATAATCTTATTATAATGATTATTTTAACTTGAAAAATCAATTTGAAAAGCATAAAATAAATTCTAAGCGAACTACCTAAGTGTAAATGGAAAGTAAAAACACCTACAATGAACCCAAAAAAAAAAAAGAAAAAAAAAGAGCCTTTGTGAAGGCCCTAAAAATATTTTGATATTCTCGTTACCTAAAGTCTAAACTATCAAAAAAAAATTATAAAAATAATAAAATAAGAAGCTTCATTAAGACAAAAATTAAGTTAAACAATTCTAATATACACATAACAAAGAAGAGAGAGAGAAAAATTGGTGTAAAAATGAAATATAATGAAAAATAGAATTGCAAGGAGTGATTAAGAAAAAATAATATTGAGAAAATAAAGATAAGGAGAGAGATTAATGATAGATAACAAAATATCAATATATAGTGAGAGAATGAGGGTGAAGGTAAAGTAGATAGGCAAATATAATGATAAATTGTGAGAAAATAAGTTAAGAGATAAAGTTTTAAGAAAAATTAATGGAAGGTGAAATATAGATAAGTGAAAAAGCATAAAGACTAAGAAAGAACAATAGATGTGAGAGGATAATGGGAAAAAAAAATAAAAACACATAAATTGTACTATATAATATAAAGAGAGAAAATAATGAAAATAATATAGGTTCTTTACTTTATATTGGCTTAAACTTACAACTTTGTTGATTTGTGTATAAATTTCTTACATATATTACTAAATTATTTATGATTATAAAATATCTATATGTTATTGTAATATTAAGAAAACAGAAAATATCTAATGATAGCTAAAAAGAAGAAATTTAGTAGAAAGATATAGAATGATCGATAAAGATATAAGGAATATTATAGAAAAAGGATAATAAGGGAAGAAAGAATAATAATAATAGTAATAAACAAATTATTAATATAGAAATGAAATAAGTAAGGGGACCGAAAGCTAAAAAGTGAGGGAAGATAGTTTAAAATAATGGACAATGATTGGTGCACACCCGGATCTAACACCCGGGTGTGCACCCCCACATAAAAAAAAAAAAGAATGGATTGGGTGATGAGCATTTTTTTTTTTTTATATGATGTGTGTATACCCGAGTGTTGAATCCAGATGTGCACACATCATTTTCCTAAAATAATACATATAGTGAGAAAATATGAAAAGATTAGTTAAGAGATGATATCATAAGACAAATTAATGAGATGTAGATTAATGGTAGGTAAGTAAAAAGTAATCATGAAATAAGGTTAAAAAATTGTATATATCTTTTATGTTTTAACTTAAAACATATATATTTAATTTAGATAAAGAGGGAGAGAGAGAGAGAGAGGGGGAAGAGAACTGGAATAAAAAAATATATAATGATTGATAAAGGTACAAGGAGTGAATAAAAAAATAATATAATTAGTGGATAATGGGAAAAATAATAATAATGATAAACATATTCTTTATATAAAGAGCAAAAACAAAGGCAATCATTGATAAATAGATAAATATAGTAATAAAATATGTAAGGATAACTTAAAAGATAAAGTTGTAAAAAAAATTAATAAAAAGTGAAGTATATGTAAATGAAAAAGTTTCAAAAAATTCTGCGGTTCACCATTAGCCTTTAAGTAGGAACACCTTTGGGTTTGAGGTTCGATTCTCTAGAATGACACATTCCTCCCTCTCCTTCGAATATTAAGACCATTTGTAACTTATTAAAAAAAAAAAAAGTATCAAAAGAATATTACTAATGATTTATGTCTATTATATTTGACTTAAAATCTTCTAATACATGCATTTAGAAAAGATAAGATAAATTAGGGTAAAAGAGATATTCATAAGTAATAGTTATAGATGAAAAGGTAAAATACATTAATAAAGATTAATAAATTTCTATCCTGCTATTATATTTAATAACTACTAAAAATGTGTAATACAAAAAATAATGTGTGGCATGGTTTTAGAGTATAGTATAACGATATAAGAATTAAATTTGAAATGATAAGACGAGATCATGCTCAAAAAAAATAAAAGAAAGAGACAGAAGAGATGACGGAGAGCAAACCAGAGAGGATCCAGAGGAGCGAAACGAAAAGCAAAATAAAGCCATAGAAGGCCAAAATGTTAAACTCCATTTTCTCTCGTTCTTCGTGTTTCTCCCTCGTTGACCTTAGGGGGTTTATATAGCCATCTACATGATCAGATTTAGTGAAACAGCTATGTCCACATGGACTTTCCGTGAGACTAATTCTTCCAACTCATATTTGGCTGGAAAAAATTTGTCCAAGATCATGTTTATAAAAGAAGGAACACGTACAGCTCATCTGTAAACATATATAAATGAAAATGTACACCACCTTGCTCTATCATCTCAGCGCTTAAATCAGTTATTGTACAAATCAATATAGCCTGCATGGTGAATTGTCAACTATTGTATATTTCCACGCTAGCCGACTATAATTCTTTCAAGGGATCATGATTGGTGCACACCCGGATCTAACACCTGGGTGTGCACCCTCCACATAAAAAAAAAAATGATATGCACCTGAATCCGGGTGTGCACACATCATTTTTCTTCTTTCAAGTCATCTCATCAATCAGTGGCACCAAACGTAACTAACTCTTTCTTCCAAAATCCTCTCTTTTAGGTTGCTGATGTGATAGAAGTTGTTTAGGCATGTCATTTTATTTTATTCAAAATAAGAAAGAAGGATTTTTGACAACTTGCACTTCTTTCAAACATAAGAATTTATTTAAAAGTTGATAGAAAAATGCCATTTGATTAAATAACCACATCAATGATAACTTGATCAAATAATTGTAACAGAAATAAAGGTATGTTCCTACACAGAGGTTCAAAAATAATTTATGAGGTATTGCAATAGCATCCACTTTTTTTTTTTTTTTTTTTTTGTCCTTGGATCCAATGTCTCTTTTTTCTACCTAGAATATCCCATGCCTTCTTGACATGGTTTACAATTCAGGATTTTAGGAGATTTAGGATTACATGAGAAAACTATTTTATTGTCTATCTTGTTAAAAAAAAGTTTTTAAAAAATAAAAAATTAGTTCAAGGATATGAGAAGAGAAAGGAGTCATGTGAAAATTCATTAATGATGTTTGTCTTTCTAGTTGACTCCGAGCTAATATTTTTTCTTGCAAGGCGGACTAAGAAAACCCTTTCTATTGTTGTATGTTAAAAAAATAAATAAATAAATGACATTTAGTATGTGAAGGCTTACAGCTATAATCAGTGTAGGATGTTGCTGTTCCCTTTCTTCCAACGGTGAGCACTGAAAATATGCATAAGATTAGTAATATATATGGGTTAGTGCTTATTCGCTTTACTTTAAAAAAATAGGAGGAAAAATTATAAAAAATAAAAGGAAAAATGATAAAAAAAACATTTAATTCATACTTTTAAAAAAAATATTTTAGTTTTTTTCAATATGTGTTTATTAAAATGATATAATTTTAAAATAATATTTTTTCTAATTTTTAGAAGGTAAAACAGACAAGTACTATATATATATAGACACACAGGAAGATGTGGTTAAAGGTGGCCATTATGAAATGGAGGAATGAACTGCATGCCTTGGAACAACGGAGTTGGAGAGACTTTTTATTTATGGCAAGTGAAAAATTAATATGATTATAAAAACATTTGTCGGCGTTACATGTGTTGAACCTTTTAGTGGGAGGCCAAGGCTGGTAACTTAAGACAGCGTGCAAGAGGTGTACCATTTGGAAGAAGCTCTTTGAGTCCTTGATGTATGACAATGAATCAAAATGATATTGTAAATAGATAATTTCATAATTTGGGCTAAGTCCTATTGTTTTATCTATGTGGAATTGGTGTTGCCTGTATGGAAGATTACTTTTGGTATTACTTTCCCAACCCTTTGCTTTGCAGGAAAATATAAAAGACAATTGAACTTCGCCCGTTGAATGTTAAGTTTTATCAAGAGTGAATTCTGGTTAACAGATTCACGCTTGGTACTGAGGTCGGTTGTCTGGCCTATACCGAACTATTAGCTTTCTTCTTTGATGCTGATAGTGAGCATGACGGCCTTCATTGACAATCAAGTGCAGGATCGCAGATGTCTGTCTTTGACAATTTACATGACCTCTTTTATTGACAAACAAAGAAGAAATTTGTTGTCGAAAAGTAAGCACCGTATTAGCTATTGCCAAAAGGACACCCTAGCAATTTGCCAAAATTATCAATTGAAATGTTTGCAACGCTTTGTCAGTGTTTTGTGACAAGATGCTGACATTACCCTTCTGACAAGTGTAATCTTGACAATTCATGGTATTTAACGATGAGTACCCACTTCAAAATATCATAATGTTGATGGGTGACCAAAGTTACTAATCGCCAAATCAAATTGGCAGAACAGTCATAATTCTGCCTTTATTTCCTTTTTGTCCCACATTTTGAATGACAAATCTGCCAAGTATTGACAAGTTGATTATCGTTGTCTAAAGCATTGGAAGATATACCACTTTGTTGGGCGACAATTTTACAAGATTAAATCTGATGGTGACCACAGTCACAAGGAGTGATTAATGACTTAACAAAATGATTAATTACACTCAACCTCATTTTAGATTGAAAGAATTGATAGCGAAGGTGATAAATTGAATTTTTATAAATATTAATGTGAAATTTTTGCTTTGACATTATTGATATTTGGATGAGTTTTATAAAATTTTACTTGACTTTACATAATTTTCATTAGGACAATTATACATATACTCTCATCCATTACACATTCCGTTACACACACTCACTTTCTGGTATTTTCCATTAACTTCCACATGCACCTAGCCCAGTTGGCTGAATAGTGAAGCTGGACAAAACCTACAATTGCCCCAAATGAAACCTGCAATTTCATTCACTTCTCCCTCAAGCTT